GTCCCACCAGCAATGTACAAGAGTACCCTTTTCCCCACATCCTCACCAGCACTTGTTGTTGTTTGACTTCATAATGGCTGCCAATCTTATTGGAGTGAGATGGTATCTTAGGGTGGTTTTGATTTGCATTTCTCTGACTGCTAGAGATGGTGAGCATTTTTTCATGTACTTGTTGATTGATTGTATGTCCTCCTCTGAGAAGTGTCTGTTCCCGTCCTTGGCCCATTTGTTGATTGGGTTATTTGTTATCTTATTGTTTAATTTTTTGAGTTCTTTGTATACTCTGGATATTAGGGCTCTATCTGAAGTGTGAGGAGTAAAAATTTGTTCCCATGATGTAGGCTCCCTATTTACCTCTCTTATTGTTTCTCTTGCTGAGAAAAAACTTTTTAGTTTAAGTAAGTCCCATTTGTTGATTCTTGTTATTAATTCTTGTGCTATGGGTGTAAGTTAAACTAAGATTTCTAGAGTGCATCAAATTGTTGCTACTAATATACCTTATTTTCAGTTTTATATACTATTTCTTTTTTGAGAGAGAGAGAGAATTTTTTTAATATTTATTTTTCAGTATTCAGTGGACACAACATCTTTATTTTATTTTTATGTGGTGCTGAGGATCGAACCCAGCGCCCTGCGCATGCCAGGGGAGCGCGCTACCGCTTGAGCCACATCCCCAGCCCCTATATACTATTTCTAATATCAAGTATTATTTGTAATATTGTAATAAGCAATACTGATAAGAATTATCATTGGGGCACACATCTGTAATCCCAGTGACTTGGTAAATTAAGGTAGGAGTTTGTAAGTTTGAGGCCAGCCTCAGCAATGTAGTGAAATCTTGTCTCAAAATAGAAGTAAGAAAGGAGCTGGGTGTGGTGGCACATGCATGTAATCCCAGCAACTTGGGAGGCTGAGGTAGGAAGATTGCAAGTTCAAAGCCAGCCTCAGCAATTTAACAAGGCACTTAGCAAGTCAGTGAGACCCTGTCTCTAAATAAAATATGAAAAAGGTCTGGGGATATGGCTCAGTGTTTAAGTGTTCCTGGGTTCAATCCCCGGTACCAAAAAAGAAGAAAAAAAGTGTAAAAAAGGGGCTGGGGCTATAGCTCAGAGTAGAGTGCCCTTAGGCTCAATACCCACCACCACAAAAAAAATTATCACTACTAAAGTTACATATTAATTTATACTTACTATAAATACTACTTATAACTGCTATATGATCTCATTTAATAAGCACATTGTCACTATGAGTTGGACACACTCTTTATCCCTATTTTACAGATGTGGTAACTGAGGCATAGAATGGCATATGGTTTCCCCAAGGACGTAGAGCTAGGACATGGCAGGGACAGGATTTAAGTGCAGATGACCAACCTCCTGGGTTCATGGCTTTTTGTTGTTGTTTGTGGTGCTGGGGATTGAATCAAGGGCCTTGTGCATGTGAGGCAAGCACTCTACCAACTGAGCTACAACCCTAGCCCAGGGTTCATGGTCTTAATCAGTATACTACACTGCCTGTCTAGAAATTAAGTCACTGTCAGTAATATTGCACATTAAGTTTTTGTTATGAGAGATTGTTTGTTTGTCTGTTGTTTGCACATGTGTGGTGCTCAGGATGGAACCCTGAAAAATATTCAAGGGCAAATACTCCTCATAATCATCCTTCAACCTCTGAAGGACTCTGGGTAGAGAAGTGATGCCCATTTTTATTTGTTCTTTTTAGATATGCATGACAATAGAATGTATTTTGACATATTATACATACATGGAGTATCACTTCCCATTCTTGTGGTTGTAGAGGAAGTGGAATTACACTGGTCGTGTATTCATATATGAACATAGGAAAGTTATGTCTGATTCATTCCATTGTCTTTCCTATTCCCATCCCCCCTCCCTTCTGTTCATTCCCCTTTGTTTAATCCAATGAACTTGTATTCTTCCCTCCACCCCCTTATTGGGTATTAGTATCTGCATATCAGAGAGAACATTTGGCCTTTGGTTTTTTGGGGATTGGTGATACCCTTTTTTTTTTTTTTTGGTTCCAGAGAGATTGAACTCAGGGGCACTTACCACTGAGCCACATCCCCAGCCCTATTTTTTATTTTATTTAGAGACAGTGTCTCACTGAGTTACTTAGAGCCTTGCTTTTGCTGAGGCTGGCTTTGAACTTGAGATCTTCCTGCCTCAGCCTCCCAAGCCACTGGGATTACAGGCATGTGCCACTGCACTGGGCTGTGATTCCCATTTTTTAAGCAGGAAGACTGAGGCTCAGGTAAGGGAAGGGCCAGTCCCCAAGTTACCCTGAGCTAGATCTCATGCTGCACACCTCATATTACTGTGACTCCTCCACATGCTTCCTCTTGGCCATCATAGTCTCCAAAAAGATTCACACAGAGACACACTGAATGCTTGGGGGCTGTTCACTTTAATGGATTTTCTAGAAGGGTGGTGGGGGTGTGATTATCCCAGGACTGCAGATCCTGCCAGGAGCTTGTGCCAGTTCTCTTGAGGAGGTAGCCTTGTATGCTGTTCTGGTCTCCATGTACACTGAAGTACTAGTCAGCAGTGTCCATGCTGGACTGGGTCTGGGTACAGGACCCATCTGTGGGGTAAACTGGCTATCAGAATGATCACCACACTGGGTTCTATCCTTCCCCTGCCACCTTCTACTGCACCTTCCTCCCCAGGGCTAGGATAGCTGAGGGCTCAAAGAATGAGCCCTGAAATCATAGAGCAACTCAAAAGTGCAGGGAGTTGGTACTAAGGTTTAGTGAATTATCATGAGCTATTGAAGTCTTACTGTCAGCAACAAGGTCACTAGGGCCAAAACAGGACCCAGGCCTTTCCCTTGGAGTTACATCATTCAGCAAAGGCTGCTGTTTGCTCCTTTTAGTAGACTGGGGGCCAATCCCCTGGGGAGACACAGATATTGTTACTGCAATGGATGTTCCCTCCTAAGGCAAGTAGGTATTTAAAATCTGCCCATCCTGATCCAGTGCATAATTTGGGCCTAGGTAACCTCCTACGAGTATAGAAATCTCTGCAGCAGGACCACAGAGGACAGAGGGGTCCATGCTTGGTGACTCAGGATACCCTAGAGGAGACCTGTTGTTTTTTTTTCACTACTGGTGATTGAATCCAGGGTCTTGAGCATCCTAAGCAAGTACTCTACCACTGAGCTGCATGCCCCCAACCCAAGACTCGCATTCTTATTGGTAGGAGCAACATGTAGTTGGATGGGAGAGAATTTGAGGGGGGGATTTTTTTTTCCACCAAAGAAGACATATTTTCCCCATTCACCTAAGGGTGGGGACAGTGACAAAGGTTTGGGTCAGGAATCCTCACTGGACAAGCATCAGGACAGTGCCTGAGAGCTGTTTGCCAATTGATAGTCCATTGTCAATGAGTTTATCAACTGCTGAGATTTGTGAATAGAGGAATTCACAACTGTGGGATAACTTATCACCTTTTTCAAGGGCCAACTTGGGTGTTCCACTGAGTGTTTGCCCCAATCTGAAATTCTGACTCCTATGGCCTCCCTTGAGTCAGGACCTTTGGATACTATAGGCGGGATGCAAGGACTGGGAAGGGCTTAGCAGAGCCTAGGCCCAACTGCAGGAACAAGGAGACCTAGGAAGGGAGTGTTTGGAGGGTCTCTCACTCAGTTTTTTGATTTGTTTCATTTTTTTTTTTTTTTTTGCAGTGCTAGGGATTGAACCCAAGGGCACAACTGAGCTATATCCTCACCCCTTTTCAGATAGGGTCTTGCTAAGTTGCTGATGCTGCTCAAAATTAGATCCTCCTGCTTCTGCTTCCTGAGTCACTGGGATTACAGGCATGCACCACCAAGACCCAGGTTCTATGTAGGAAGATGAGCCAGAAAAGTGAGAGTCAGGTCCAGAGACCTGTTTAGATGAGGAGACAGCTGCATGGGGAAGGAGTGTAGAGGTTATGGGCTGATACATCTGGTTGTTCCAGATTATGAACTCTACCTGCACTAAATTGCTGTCACAGTTTCCTCCAGAGTTGGTCAGAAGAGTATAGAGAGGAGGAAAAGGGAGGGGAGATTAGAACAAAGCTTGGAGATACCTTCTCTCCATCCAACCTCTTCTATACTCCAAATAACCCCTAAGTAAGGAATCTTCTGCAGGCCATGGATGGAGGGCCAGGGCTACCCCTTCTTCCCTGGCTGGGTTACAGTGGGGGACCCTTTTACTCAAGACAGATTTATACTACAAAGCCTAAGGGTGGGGACATGACAAAGGTTTGGGTGGGGAATCCTACTGAACAAACATCAGGAGAATGCCTGAGAGCTTTTTCCAATTGATTGGGCTTTTGTCAAGGAGTTTTGTGAACTGCTGAGATTTGTGAATAGGGGAATTTACAGCTGTGGGATAACTTATTAACTAGAGAGTCCTGGGCAAATAGGAATTAGAAATCATTATAGTAAAATATTTTAAAGTGTTGAGTAGAGAAACTATTTATTAAGTTGGAATTGTTTATGCACATTAAATAACTATTACTGATGTTGCAGATCAGCAGTTCTAAGGCCAATGTTGAGATTATTGCCAGGAGCTGTCACACATGCCTGTAATCCCAGTGACTCAGGAGGCTGGGGTAGGAGGATTACATGTTCAAAGCCAGCCTCAGCAACTTAGTGAGGCCCTAAACAACGTAGTGAGACCCTGTCTCAAATAAAATATAAAAAGGGTTGAAGATGTGGCTCAGTGGTTAAGAGCCCCTGGGTTTAATCCCCAGTACCAAAAAAAATATTATTACCAATACATAAACTTTTATGTAAAATATAAAACCCCAACATTTTCTTTTTTTGCTAAGTGTGGAATCCAGGGCCTGTGCATGTTAAGCAAGCACCCTTCCCCTGAGCTACACCTCCAGCCCCAAACCCAACATCTTGCATCCCTCCCTGCCTCATTGGTCCCAGGGTACCCCCACCAGTTCATCACTAACATGGGTTTGTTCCCAAGCACTACAGAGACAGTGTCTGCTGAGTGGTAGCTCTTTATTTCATCATCTTGGAGAAAAAAAAGTTGGGAGTTGGAAGGGGGCAAACACCATGTGGGCTTCAGCTTCCACTGGAGGCAGGCTTCAGGCCATCCGGAATCGTAGGGACTGCCAGGTACACACCCCTGGCTCCCGGGGCAGGCAAGCCAGGTTACGGCTCTGGAATCCTTTCTCAGAGCCATCGAGGAGCTGGTCTGTCCACAAGCACTGAGTGTCTTTCTCCAGTTTGCAGGGAATGGATGAACAGGCAAACACCTGAAAGAGAAGAGAGAGGTTCACCTTTGAGGGCTTCTCCTTCTCCTCCTCCCTCCTGTGGAGAACATTCCCCTCTTCGCCTTGCAATCTTGAGCTGCTGGAGAGACCCAGGAAGAGACCCTCCCCTTGGGGGAACAGGAAGCCAGTGAAAGGATCATTGTACTAGAAAAGTGGTTAGGAAATAGTCGCTTGGGATCAGTCAGGCAGACTGGGGAATTTTCCCATGGGGCAAGGAACAACTGGCAGTAGTAGGGAAGAGCAGGTGTGCAGGGAATTTAAGCATAAGATAGGTAGTAGGGCCTCTCAGTCGTTGGGATCACAGGACATCCGGGGGTATCAAGGAACAGTCTTAGAATAGCCAGGTCAATGTAATGCACCTGGCGAGTAGATCAGTCAACTGCAAGGCAAGAATGAGATGCGTTGGGGAGAGTTGGTAGGTATGGAAAACAACACTTTGGGTTGTTGGAGATGTTCTAGGGAAGTAAAAAAAAAATATATATATATATATATATCCCAGGGGTCAGGAACTGGAAGTGGGATTACAGAATAGTCACCAGGGAGAGTTAGAGGGGCAGGTAAAGACGTCAAGGAGCAGGCAGTCCCAAGGTTATCAGACACAGGGCAGAGGATAAACCAGAATTTCCAAGGGAGCAATCTCAGGTTTGGGGAAGTAGCAAGAGAGAGCAGGGACAGCTCATGGGTTTGGGAAGCAGATATAAGGACAAGGAATAGCCAGTGGAGGGGGCAAGAAATGAGCCCACGGTTTGGGAAAGAACCCCAAGAACAATGTCCCGGTGGAAGGCAGAGCTCAGGCACTCACTGTGCATGCCTCGCAGCCAGCACTGTAGGTCTTGGTGAAGCCCTTGCGCTGAGCTGGGCTCAGACTGGTCCAGGGAGCCACGAAACTGCAGGTGGTGATGTGCAAGAGCTTATTCTGCAGTTGTCCTGGGAGGGAGGGGGGGAACCAACAGGCAGCTTTTGATTGGCTCGGTCAGGAGACAGGACGACATCTGATTGGCGCCCTGGGCATACAGACCCCCCAACTAGGCAAAGTCTCAGCCTTCTGATAGGCTGAAATTGGGGCGGTCCCAATTTCAACTGAGACCATTCCTTTCAAAGCCTCACCCCCACCCGGTTGCTGGGCAGCTTCTGAGAACGGGTTGGTGTGGCCCAGGGCGAAGGGGTGGAGCCTCACCCGCGATGAGAAACTCCTCGCTGCGGTTCTGGGAGTTGTGGACGTATCCGCAGACGCTCTCCATAGCGGGGGTGTAGAGGAACCGGATGTCAGCGGCAGGCCCCAAGGCCTGGAAGCCTTTGAACATCTGTTGATGGATGAGGGGAAGAGTCTCTTTTACTGACATAATCCTCCCACTCGTCGTTCTTCCCTGAAGTCATCTACCTAATTCCCCAGATCACAATTTCCTCACCAACCCGCTGTGGCAGGAGGCTTCTGTTTTGAGGAGGAGGAAGATGTTGGGGACTGCTAGGGAGGGGGCAGGGGGATACCTTTGTCATCTTGATCTCATAACGCTGGTAAGCCATGTCCTGGTTGACTTCTGGGAGCCCCATAAACTTGGCTCTTATGACTGCAGGAGAGGAGGGGAAGGAAAGGAGTCAAAGGAACAGCATTAACCAAAAAAAATCATCATCATATTAATACCAGTAAAGCACAGTTACAAATAGGGATTAATGAGTGCCAGACAGCATGCTAAGTGATTTATACATCTGTTAGTTGATTCATCTATGTATTGAAGTTCTAATCTTCATCAGGCACTACTTTAAGCCTTTTTCATTTGTATATTCATCTGTTCATGCACCCAACAAATATTTCAGATTGCCTACTGCATGTCAGGCACTGTTCAAGGCTTTAAAGATACAACAGTGAACAAAACACTGAAGTCCCTTCACATTCTACCTAGGAGACAGATTAAAAAGAAACAAAATAAATAAATTTGTGGAATTAGAAGATGTTAAGGGCAATTGGGAATTACAGAGCTGGGTAAAGAGGCGACAAAGATTCTTTGCTTGACCAAACTTGAGTCAGGTTCCTGAATGTTCTCCCAGGCCCATCTGTTCACTTTCTTGTAAAATTCAGTTTAAGGAAAGAACCCTGCTAAGTCAGTTTACCCCACCTTCATTTAACTCCCCTCAATATCTGATGGGGGTTCCTCATTCTTCCCCCATCCCCCCATGATGTCTGATCACACTGGCCTGTCTTCAGCAAGAACATTGTTAGGTCAGAAGTCCACTCCCTTACTCCTGATGTTTTCTCTTAGTGATGTTCCATTAACTGACCTCTAAATTGATCATTGGCTATAGATTCCCATTTACCCATGCTATATTGGGAGTTGAAACCAATCTATTTCCCTTCTGCAAAATTCCCTTGCCATGGTCCCTTACCTACTGGGATGGTCCTGAATAATCTGTCTTTAACAGAGGATCAGGACTAGGGGGCAAGAGCTAACATTTTAATCGGGATGTTCAGGTAAATCCACCCCAGAAGGTGACTTTTGGGGCAGTCATCCATTTGGATACCTGAGGGGAAGGGTGTACCAGTGGAAGGAGCAGCCAGCACAAAGGCTGAGGTGTTTGGACATGATGTACCCATGGAAATCAGGATGCTATTGTGGCCACAACAGAGATATGCAGGGGTGAGCTGAATTGTTCTAGAGTTAACCACCATTGTGAGATCCTCTGGACTGAGAGGGAAAGCTAAGCAGAGTGTGTGGGTAGAGAAGGGGTCAAACTCACCAACATCGGAGTTGCAGAAAGCTGTCTGTGGGTGGGGTGGGGCACAGGTGCAGGCCCAGCTGGGGGCTATTAGTGACAGCAACAACAGGATGCCAGAGGCCAGGGGTACAAAAGGGGCCATGGTAGTTTCTGTAGGGGAGAGAAGCATCAGGTGGCCCCCAGCCCAGCTGATCTGCTGACCCCTGGCAGCCTGGGGAGGGAGAATTATGGGACTGGGATTTGGGCCTGAGATGTTGGGAAGTTTGGGGATCTTAAGAGAGTTGGGGAGCACAGAGGAGTGTGGGGATTTAGAGTTGGGAGAGTTTAGGAATTTGTGGAGTTCAAGTGATTTAGGGGACTGAGTTGGGGAATTTGGAGGTTGTCATTTGGTGAATAAGAGGCCTGGGAAGTTTGAGGATTTAAGGGGGTTGGGAAAGTCTGGAAGCTGAAAAGTTTGGTGGGGAGAAATTTGGATATTGTGGTCTAGAAGAGTTTGGGGGAGGTCAGGGGTTATGCATATTGAGATATAGGTGGCTGGGGATTTTAAAGAGTTGAATTGGGAGGAGGTTGGGTTTTAGGGAGCTGGGGGAATTTGGGAGTCCAATGGGTTAGGGGAAGTGGTGGGGGGCTAAAGGTGATGGAGGTACTTGGGGGATGTGAGGGCAGAGGAAGTTTTGAGATTTAGGTGTTTGGGGAAGGAGGAGTTTGGGGATAGGGAGAGTTTAGGGAATGCAGAGGTTTGGAGTGGGGGACTTAGTGGGGCAATGAGTGGATCCCAGGGAGTTGGAAGGCTGGGGAGACTTTGTGGTATTAGGGGGTCATGGGTTTGGGGAAGCTGGGGGTGGATGCCAGGGGTTCAAGGGAGTTTGGAGTGCCGGTTTGGGGGGCAGAATTCCAGATGCCCCCTTTACGGGCCCCCTCTCATCCCCAACCAGCACAGGGTCCTGGTACTCGCAGGCCAGGCAGAGTATCTGGCACCCGAGTAGAAAGGTCAGCAGCCAGCACACGGACAGGATCCAGTCGGGCCCAGCCCCAGCCCCACCAGGACAGACGGATCTCCGCTTACCTCGCTGTATCTCTAGGCGCTGGGTCTGCGGCGATGGCGGCAGGGCCTGAGCGGTAGAGGATAAATGTCCACCACGCGAGGGGCGGGGTTGGCGAGGAAATCACAGGCCTGCAGGCTTCCTGGATGTTATTACTCATCCGCCCACCATCAGAGCAGGGCAGCCCAAAGAGCCACCCTCCTCTGCCCGCCCGCTCCTCCCGCCCGCCACGCCCGCCGCACCCCTCCCCCAGCTCCACGTCGTGAGCATTCCTGCCTAGCGGCCTCCTAGGAGAGGCGACAGTCCGCCAAGTCCCTGAAATCGCCCAGTTCTCTCCAATCACCCACATCTCCCAAATTCCCCACGGCCGAAGCCCGACTTATTTCATTATTTCAACATTGTGCATCAACTGTGTGCCGAGCCCATAAAACCCCCTTCCATTCCTGGTGTGTCTGACGTTCTGGTGAGGGGGTGGACAGGGGACAAATTAAGCAGAAGCGGTGGAGGGAGATAAGGCAAGCGAATGGGGAGAAACACAAAGTGAGGAAAGTGAGGCACCAAGAGGTTACGTGACTTCCCAGGCATGGTAGCATATGCTTGTAATTCCAGTGATCCTGGAGGCTGAAGCACGAGGATCTTAAGATAGAGGCTCGAACAAGCAAGGTCCTGGCTCAAAATAAAATAAATAAATAAATAAGGGGCTGGGGTTGTGGCTCAGTGGTAGAGCACTTGCTTAGCATGTGCGAGACCCTGGGTTTGAGTCTCAGCACCACATAAATAAATAAAGGTCCATCAATAACTAATAAAAACATTTTTAAAAAATAAAATAAATAAAAAGGACGTGGAGAGTTTGGGGCTGTAGCTCAGTGGTAGAGTACCTGCCTAGCACGAACGTGTGAGGCACTGGGTTCCATCCTTAGCACCACATAAAAATAAAGGTATTGTGTCCATCTATAACTAAAAAAAAATTTTTAAAAAAGTAGACGTAGCTCAGTGTTAAAGCATCTCTGGGTTCAATCCCTAGAACCACTACCACCACCAAAAATAAATAAATAAAATTTAAAAAAGATTTATGTGACTTATGCAAGAACATAGAGTTAATACATGGTAGAACTGAGACTGGAACCAGGCGGCATGGAGCCACAGCCTGGGTTAGAACCTTTCTCAAAAAACACATGAACAAGACAAGACAGGGTGTAGCTCAGTGGCAAAACAGTTTTGGCACACATGAATCCCTATGTTGCATCCCCAGTGCCGCAAATCAAATAAAAAACACAAAAACAAATAAAAGCACATACTCAGGCAAATAGCATTTATATAGCACTGACTCTGTACCAGGCAATCAGCATAGTTATTTATCTCACTTCAAGCTCACAACAAGCCTTGAAGGTGGAAACAAGTAGGATTCCCTTTTTACAAATGAGGAAATATGAGACATAAAGGTAGTGGAGACAAGGCATGGCTGGGTTTGAATCTAGGCTCAGTGACTCTGGGATCCCAACCCAAGTATGGCACAGTACTGGAAGGCAGGGAATGGTGCTGGTGAGCATCAGAGAGCATTAGGAGGGGGGTTGAGTGAATGGTGGTGAAAGAAGTTAGTGAGTCAGTAAAAACCCGTTCCCCACCCCATCCTGCCCTGCCCCTACCCCACTAACTGTTCCACACCCCTGGTGGGGGGTGGAATGAGGCAACCCCTGCCCACCAGCTTCCCAATGATGCAGGAATATTCCCGGGTGTCCTGGGGAGGGTTCTGAGGGCTGATGAACATTCTTGGTCAATTTAGGGAGGATAGACCAATAATGATGAGAGGATGATGACAGCAGCCTCCTACAGAGTACTTACTGTGTACTGTGGGCTTTGGACTTAGTGTAAATTATCTCATTCACTGTCTGCTACCTCCTTGCTAATTAAGTTTGGTTAACTTAGGGAGATTAGCTCAATAACCACAACAACACAATGCAAACCACTATCAGCACTTACGGAGTGTTTACCGTGCATGAGCGGTGCTCTGAAGCCATTGTATGTACATTATCTCTTTCAATCAGTCCCCGTGACCCACCTCCTTGTTCATTAATGCTAGCTGATACTCTTCCCGACATCCCCCTAGATACGGTTCATATACTCATTACACAATGAGGAAACTGAGACACAATAGGGGTCGAGCCATCTGCCCAGGAATGAGGGTGAAGAAATGACTACATTGGAGGGACAATAAAAGGAGGAAGGAAAGAAAACCAAAAATTTGTAGAAGCTGATTGTGAAAGTCGGGGAGTGAGAGTAAATGAGACAGGGGTCTGAGTAACTCCATGGCAGGATTGAGGGAGAAGTGAAGACAGGGAAAGTCCTGTCTTGGTTCCTCACTGACCCTGCTTCTGACGCCAACTCTTTATCTCTGAAATCTGAGTCAGCACTCAGTTTTGCCGACTATTTACTTCTGAGGAGTTGTATGGATCTGGGTTATTGCACAGGTTTGAAATGGGGTGGATGTGGGTTTCACAGAGGGGTGTCTGGATCTGTGACCATCTGGGGAGTTGGAGAGGTATGGTGGCCCAAAGGGACCAGTTGTCATGTATACAAGGGATGATCCCCACAATGTACCAAGTGCTTGGTCTGATTGTGCCCATTGTACACAACAAGAAACTGAGTCCCAGAAGGGTTAACCAAACTATCTGGGATGTCAAATGGCCTTAGGCAGGGGAGAGGCCAAGATTCAAGTATGGAAGCTGGGCCCATTGGTGCCTGCCTGAAAGTCCCAGCTACTGGGGAGGCTAAGGTGGAAAGGAGGATCCCTTGATTTTTTTGTTTTTGGTTTTTGTGTTACTGGAGATTGAACCCAGGGGTGCTCTACCACTGATCTACAGCCCCAACTCTGATCTCCCTAAACTGTTTTTTTTTTTTTAGAGAGAGAGAGAGAGAGAGAGAGAGAGAGAATTTTAATATTTATTTTTTAGTTTTCGGCGGACACAACATCTTTGTTTGTATGTGGTGCTGAGGATCAAACCCAGGCCACGCGCATGCCAGGCGAGCGCGCTACTGCTTGAGCCACATCCCCAGCCCTCTCCCTAAGTTGTTGAGGCTGGCCTTGAACTTGCCATCCTTCTGCCTCAGCCTTTTGAGTAGCTGGGTTTACAGTTGTGTACCACTGCACCCAGCTAGGAGGATCAAACGAGTCCGGGAGTTCAAGACCAGCCTGAGCAACAGAGCAAGACTCTAAGTGGCACATGCCTGTAATCCCAGTGGCATGGGAGGCTGAGGCAGGAGGGTCACGATTTCAAAGCCAGCCTCAACAACTTAGCAAGGCAATTAGCAACTCAGTGAGACACTGTCTCTAAAACAAAATGAAAAAAATATTTACAAAGGGCAGAGGATGTGTTTCCATGGTAAAGCACCCTTGGGTTCAATGTCTGGTACAAAAAAAAAAGAAAGAAAGATTCAAATCTAGGGATCCAAAGTCCCCTGCAGTGTGTACCTGAAAGGGTACATACTTACACATATCCACAGCATTGTGTTCAGGCTCAGGTCCAGGGGAAGCAAGGACGGTTTATGAAAAAGACCTAGAAACCTTGGCAAGCGGAGCTGGTTACGCATGTGCGCACACAGCTCTCTGCTATATTTCTGCTGCTGGGAGTTGCATGTGTGCCCCTGTGTGTGTTGTAAGCCCATCCCTGAGAGTCAGGTGTGCCTGATTATTTTTTTGCTGTTTGCTTCTGGGAGTTGTAGGTCATGTATGCAATCATGAATGCATCGTCCACTGGTGTGTGCTATGCGTCTGCCTGAGTAGAGTGTCACACATGCGTCTGATTGTTTCTCTGGCATGATGCCTGGAGGATTCCTCTCACCCCACCCCCCATCCGCAGTCTCAACACCATGCCTGAGTCCCCCTCCCCCCCTCCAGTGACGCCAGTCATTTGAGAAATGAGGAAGGAGGGGTGCAGAGGGAGGGTAAAGCCTGAAGGTCAATTGGTCACCCTGAGTCTGCCAGCTTCCTGTGCCTGTCGGGAACTGGGAACCACCACCGCCCCAGCAGCCCCTCCGGGAATGCCATCTCTACCCTGTCAGCAGGAGGCAGGGGCCCTGCACAAGTGCCCATGTGCTGTGGTGCCTAAATGTGTGTGCGAATGCCCAGCAGTGTTGTCTGTAAACTTAGGAGAGTTGTGGATATCTCTGATTGTGCATACATCTGTGTTTCACATATGGCAAGGCATGTTGTGTGTGTGTGTGTCTTGATATACTTTTTGTGTGCCCCAGAGTGTGGCATGGGTCTATGTTATGGAGCTCTGGTTATGTGAAGACCTAGAAGTGTATGCACCTCCTGTTTGTTGTGTAGATCCTTCTATTGGTTGTGCATGTGACTAGGAGTGTTCCATGTGTGCCTGTAAGTGTTGAATATATGCCCAGTTCTGTTGCATGTGCCTGAAAAATTGTGTGAGCCTCTGTATTGTATGAGTGACCCAAAGGATCTGTGCATCTCTCTGTCAGTCAGGTTTGGGCAAGGGAGCCGATGTGTGTTTGAGTCCAGGAGTACTGGCTTCTGTCCATGTTTTGAGCCCCTGGATGGCAGAATGGCCTTGTGGGGAATGACTATGTGGGTCTCTGCAGCCCCGGAGTTAGGTGTGCTTTGGGCATACGTTGGTTGGTCTTCTCAACATGCTTGAGCATCTCTGGGTTTGGCTGGGTAGATCAAGTCTGAAGGTTTGTGTGTCTCGTAAGTTGTGTACGTGTGTGGATGAGGCTTACATACAATGCTTGGCTGAGAGGTCCGATTGCTACATGCTAACCACCACACCCCCATACACACATGCATACTCACCTCACTGTCATCCATCCACTATAAAAACAAACTTTCTCTTTTCTGGGAAAGTCCCCCACCCTCATCCCATGCCTTGCCCTGGGAAACCAGGGGCAGGAAGTGTGGGACTTAGTGGGTGGAGGGAGGGACAGGCAGGCAGGACTGGGTTTGAATCTGGGCTTGGAGATGCTGTGTGACTCCCAGCTGCTGCCCAACTGGGTCTAACCCACCTTTTCTGCAAAATGCTCATACTGTGGCTCATGCTGGATGGGGTTGCTGAACACCAACTCACTCTTGGTGGTTGGCACTCCTTCCCTGACCATGCCTCTTCTGCCTTTGTCC